CTTTGGACAGCAGTCAGAGAATACCATGGAAACATCTCAAGTCTATCATGTGAATACACAACAGGAGAGTTTAGAGAAACCAATAAGCAGCAGTAGGAGCAATAAAGGTCTGCTCATGGAGAACATGTAAACTTCTTGCAGAACAGGACTTCTTCCTACAAAGCAAATGTACAAACAACAGCACCACTTTGCAGCCCAGGGCTCATATCACAAATATAGATCATCACATAGCTTTTTTTTTTTTCTCCAAAGAATTTATATTCCTTTCCAATTGTGACAATGAATGCAGTTCGGGCCCAATGAATCCTGATCAATTAAAAATGACAGTGATCAACTGCTGGTATCCATAAGTTAATAAAGAGACATATTTACAGTTCTACAATTCTATATGACTGTTAAATGGGACTGTCTAACTTATACTTAAAACTTCATTTGTTTGCAGCTAAATTTTGTTTTAGTCTTCCTGTTTTCATCAGTGTTTATCATGATTGCCCCATTGGACTCCTAATAGGAAGCTGCACCAGGATATTGACTCACTCAGAACAGATCAAACACTTTCTGTAAGAGTCCTAACAAACATCTAGATAACAAAAAAAAAAATTGGAAACAAGCTCTTTAAATGTACCATACTGATCAATCAAGATAACAATCATTAAAAGCTAGCTAACTGAGTCTATTTAGTCTCAATGTGAAACACTGCCCAGATAATAACTGATCAGCTCCTCCTACAACACCTTGTGTGTTTACATGTTCTCAGCTGTCATCTTCATTCCAGCATAGATACTTGGTCTGTGTTAAATCAGTTGAAATGTCAAAAGGAGTAAAACTAACTCCTGGAAACTCCAGATTACTTCATATTGCAGTCATGCATAGAGACGCACAGTGTGTCGGTGGATATTTTCACCTATAGACACACAGTATAATGATCCTGCTTGAGATCCCAAAAATGTATAGTTCCTAAATAAATCATAAATGTTCCATGTAATTTTAATAGAATGCATGCGTTTCTTTTTTATGGGAATAATGTGTTAGAAGGTAGGTAAGATAAAATAGATTAATTACCTACTTAGTACAATACAATAGAAAACCCCACAATGAGAGTGTAATGCAGTGAGAAATATTCCTTAGATCTTACCTGAATTCGTGTCCTGATTCCTCGTGAATTGAGACTTATCCGTTTCCAAGTGGACTTCAGCAGCTGCCTCTCAAACAGTGACTGACACAGCAGCTTCTCCGCTCCTCCGCGTCATCAGGTGGCCCCGCCCACTTCTAAATTTCTGTCCAACAAACTCTGAAGTCCCTCTAATTCTCCTATTCTCCTCAGCGAAATGTTTAGTTATTATAGCAAACTCCTCATGATATTACCTTTCTATCCAGGGTAGTGTTGTGAGGTTCTTAAAGCGCCAGGATTTGCTGTAAAAGTGATAAAGGTGTGCTCTATTAGTCAGCCCTCTTTAATGGTGACACACTGACCCCTAGTGGCCACTTTGGAAAATTTCATCAAATAGTAGATCAAAATGTTCAAGCTTTACACTTCTTAGTATTTCAGATATCAAATTAGAGATCAGGGAGACCTCCATAATATTTGTTTCCCCCACAGTGGTGGCCAGATGATGCTGGGGGATAGATGATCTTGGGAAGGCCAAACAGCTTAATAAAATTTCTGGAGTTTTACTGAGTTGTTACAGTAATATCAGTGATAGGGAGCAGGGACAACACTTAGATAGACAAAGTATATGGTTTCTAAACAGCTAAATTAACATGTAATTGTCTTTTAAAATTCATAAAACTGTGGGGAAAAATGGAAGAAATAAAACATGTGGCAAATGTATTGTACCACCATCTAGGGAAAGGCTACCCTAACCCTAACCTCAGTAGTGAGGCATATCATCCAAATCCTTAGCAGCCGATGACCTACTTATTCATAAGGTTTAGAGCGTATTTATAACAATTACTCAAGGATTATGTGATGTAGCCTGCATAATTTGTTACTTCTTTATGTTGTCATGAAGTTACTGTAAAAATAAATTCATTAAATGACAGCAGCAATGACTTGTATGTCTCACATTGCACACTTTCCAAGAATGCAGTAAAATGTAAAAAAAAAAAAGAAAAAAAAAAAAAAGGGCACACATACAATACAAGCATGTTCTTTAGTAATCTTCTAAAATGTATGATTTACCATTGTAGATATCCTTTTAGTATTTGCTTATATATACATTAAAGCTATTATGTTATGAGTATGGGTCCCAGATGAACAGCTATAAATAGTGACATTTGTGGCTCAATTTGGTTGAAAGTAGACAGGGAAAGAAATACAAAGGTTTTAAAATAAAATGACAAATTTTTTGTTGGTTGTCTACAGATCAAAAGTTATCTTCTTTCTCAGGCTTTGAGTGACTTCTGTAAGCCCTACTCGTAGTCCACTCTTGCATTTCAGGTTTTGGTTGCTTTGGATTGGTATTAATCTAAAGCTGTGCAGATAAAAATCCACCTGTGGCTAGTCATCTTCTGCATGGGTAAAAATATCATCATCCCATCTCTATGATTTACTGAATAAATAAGATTAATATAATGTTAAATTAACAGCCATGAAAATAAATGTGCCTGTTAGATAAATCATATTTCTTTGAAGATAGATAACTAAATCATATGAATGAATCAATGCGGCTCCGAGGAAAACTAGCCCCATTATTCTCCCAGCCATAAACAACTCAAACCTTTGCTGGTGTCTGTAAACCCCCCCAGGTTCCCAGCTTCTTTGTGAAATCACAACATGATCCTGTTACTGTGCTTCAGAGTCCAACAAAAAGTCTGAACACTAAATCCTACAAATGAGGATGTCTTAAAGCATACTGTTGATCCATTATGAATGTATATATTTATAAAGTAGCACTCCCTGAACAGCAGCTATGATTTTATTTCCTCTCCTTAATCCATTTATAAGCAGGTTTGTAAAGGTTTGGGATTATGTCCAAGACATTCGGTGCCTTCAATCCAATAGAGCTGACCCATACAGGTCCCCTCTGAACATCACTGAGGAAAGGAGCATCACTTTTGCTGGCTGCCAAGGCAACAGCTGCCCTCAAAGAAGTAATGCTGAGCATGTTTATATGCTACAGATGCACAGTATTAGTTACACGGCAGGGTGCAGGGCCTTTTTTTTTTACTCGCTGTGTCCTCAACAAAGAAGTTTGTTCAGTTACTGAACCTCAAATATGTCCACCTTAACAAATGCCTCTATTCTATGGAGATTTCGCAGTGCTTCTGCAGGCTTTGCTCACTTTTATTCAACTAAAGCGTGTTATGTTGATTAGTGTCCTAATTTGATCTAAGAAACAAGGCTGCCTAATTGTTTGGGAATTTGAAACAGTCTTGTGCTGCCACCCACTGACTGCAGGGATGAGAAATAAATGAACTGAGCACTCCTCTGTTTTACAAAAAAAGCAAACAGGCAAAATGGGAAGATAGGTTGCATCATAGCTACTGTCAAACACAAAAACACCAGCTGTCATTTTGTTTGTGGCAAACTAAAAAAGGTATTATTAGACAGAGCTATAAGGACCAAGTTGGATTCTTAGACTTCGTTTTTCAATGTATTACTATTATTGTTATACTGGCTTTATTAACTGCATGCTGCTAAGATTGTTGCACAATAATTCTGAAAAATGAAGTAGTCAAATATCAAGTCATAATCCTGACTAAAGCTTGTTGATGGCAACAAAAGAGGATTTCTGATAAAGTCCTAAACAGACATTAGTGTGGTAGTTACCAAAACTCAAACATTGTACATCTTGTTTTACAGCTTTCCTCCTTAAAGCCTAGGGAATAAACCTGAAGCCCCAGGGCCACATTTAGCTGTATAGACCTTCTTTGCTTGACAATGACTTTGGCCAGCAACATTATAGTATTCTAAATATATTACATTCATAGCATTTACAGCTTTTCTATATTTACCTTATTCCTAAATAATTTTTGCTTCCATCAGAGCTCATTCCATTCAGATTAAAGAGTTTTTGCATCTCTGTACAGGATAACTTAAAAGTAATTAACAACTCTAATATTTTTTTACCGAAAGGTGCACCTCAGTCCAAGGAGAAATCCAATATATTTTGGTGATCCGCATCATAATCCGGATGCAGGATTTCTTTAAAGGCTTCTTTAGCATCATTCGGTGGAACAAGCAGTTCCCCCCTTAACCAGAGGGTGGCAGCAGTGACTATTAAAAGCTTCAATATTGGACTCAAAAAAGTCCAGAAGTAGAAGACAAAAAAAAAAAACATACAGTAGGAAAGGTGAGCCATGTCTCGCCTGAAATCTGATCAAAGAAAGAGTGAATGAAGGTGAGTGCATAACAAACACCAGAGGCTGCAGACACGCCCTCAGCCTTTTTTATAAACCTATAACAGGATTTTAAGGAAACCATTACCAAAGGTACACCTCATACCAAGTAACAATTCATTAAATTTGGTAATGATTTTCTGCCATTTTAGCAATAGGTGTAGGTCACAATATGGGGAAATTGTGCCGCTTGGCAGAGGTATGTGCTGTCCAAGGCATTTTCTGGTTAATGTAAAGAATTTGGATTTTGTTCAGATATTTAATAAATTGTCAGGTTATGCGACAGCTCTCTATATAAAAACTTTCAAGTTTCTTTTAATCGAACAACCATATTATTTGTTTAAAATTTTTTAAAACTCACTTTTTTATCCCGGCAGAGGGCAGCTTTTACCTCAATGCCTACTTGCTCACAACTCCTGGGTTCTAAGATATTTAACTATTATGTATCCCAATAAAAAGTAGAGGATGCAAACAAAAAATCATTAAAATGAAATTATAGGAAACACTTTTAGGGTGAACAATAACACCAGACAACCTTAGTACAAAGTATTTTATTGTAAATGTTTAAAATACTACAATACATTTGTGTTTAAAGTTCAGATGAAAAGGCTAAGGAGAGCTGTAACAAAAATAAATACATCTGCACCAACAGATATGTGATTAGCTACCATGGATCTTAGTTTTTTTTTTTTTGTTTTTTTACTTTAATTAGGGACTGTTTGACTCACATTCTAACTTTATAGATGCTTTCTCTTTGTGACTGCAAGATGATCATGTCCTGAAATTTCATGATGTAATGGAATGGCTCTTTCATAAAAATATACATGTACTTAATCATTTTAAGTGTAAAAAAAAAAAGACTGGATTTTCATAAGCAACTACATTTCCTATAGCTGGATGGTCATATGTGTGGAAAATACACAGAGATACAACATCTATGGCTACTCAACCATGGGCCAGTGCAGAGAAGCTGACTGGGCCACTAGGCATCATCAACCACAGCATAAACTACAAGGAAACAATCATAGCACTTCACTTGTTCCTCCTCAGGTCCTTTAACTTTCCAGGACAGCAAATATACGACCTGCTAAAGACTACTGTAGTAACAGCATGTATCAATACCATCGTCCCTGCTTTTCAACATTGTATAATGTCCAAGAAAATGTGTTTTAAACAAAACAACAGCATACAACTTTATTCGAATTTAAGACAAAAATTCTATGGTTGTCCTCGTTAATTAAATGTAAAAACTGTTCTGGAGAACAAATAATAAAACAGGAGGATAAAGGAGAAGAAATGTAGTGTCTTAAGTACATGAAAATTCCTGGAAAGAAAATTCCTCTGTTGCATTTAAACCAAAGTGCCAGAGTAGTTGATCCTTCATATAATGGGTCTATACTTGTATCTTCATTTTGCCTGGATCCTTTTGTCTTTTAAAGCCTCGGTGTGTTCGGGTACACCTTATTTCACAGTTACTGCCAGTCTGGACAGGTGCAGAGATCCATGAGCTTTAAGCTAGGGTTCTTTGTCTTGGTTTGATTCTGGGATAGAGCTGTTTGAGAACAGAAGCATGTCAATGATGCAGAGATGTACAGAAATCCTTCTGTTTGACAATTGGTTGCAGTGGATGCCAACTCACCCCTAGCAGGTTACGAGGAATGTAACCCTCAGCGTCGTTCAGACGGGCCCACCACCAGTCGATCTCCTCTTCATCCTCTCGGCGAACAATGGTCATGCAGTCTCCCTCACGGAAGGACAGCTCATCAGGATTTTCAGCTGCGTAGTCCCACAGAGCATAGACCACCCCCCTGTTCATTATTCCCATCTTCTCTTGAACGCCTGAAAATAACGAGGCATAAAGACAAAATATTAATTTCAAAAAATAGTCACATCATGGAGAATTTTTTTAAGCAAACAACAATTAAAAATGCAGGAAGAGCCATATTTTAAAACAGCTTTTACTGACCATAAAGGAACTGGGAGCACTGGGTATAACCCTCCTCCATCTCTTCACATTTATCTGCTGCAGTTTGCATGTCACTGTAGGTCATGGCAAAAACCGCCGCGCCCGACTCCACCAGAAACTTGCACACTTGGACATTGTTGCAGGATGCAGCGCAGTGAAGAGGTGTCCTGTTGGGGGTGAGTGACCAAAATAGGTTAATTTAAGCATGAATACCAACAACAAACAGCTCCAAATGTTCTGAGTCTGTGAACCCACCAGCCATCACTGTCAGCAGCGTTGACGTTGACACCAAACTGGACTAAAAACTTGACTATCTCTGTGTGTCCGGCACACACAGCGTTGTGCAAAGCTGTGATGCCCTCATCGTTGGGCTGACTGGGATCCTCCACCTAAATTTAGGGAACCATGCTTATTAAACTGTTTCCCTTAGAAACAGATAAAATGCAGAAATTCACTGGTTACTGAAAGTCGAACTATTTCATACTCTAAGCCTGGTTGGCGATAGGACATTACAAAACAAAAAATGTAATCTTTACAAAAAGCAACAAATACAAGATCTAACCGACCGCACTGACATCAATAGGAGGAGTTCCTGAGGTTCCTGTCACACCTTGTTGATTTAGACAGCGTATGCCCGATGTTGAACTTTCTATGCAATTTGTTTTTCAATTTTGGGCATATACATAGCGTATTCATAAGTCCAGAACTTCTGTCCAATGACAGCCTAACTTATGCATAACGCATGGCAGCGTAATGCCAATGAAACAATGCACATGAAGTAATACACATGCATAATTTCATGGGCATTAAGAAGCATCAGTTAAAGCTGCTCCCCTAAGAGGCATCACTGCTCTCCCGTTAGGAGAAGAGAATCTCATGATGTGGCACATTTCCGCATTTTGAGGTGAGCGAAACATAAGATAGCAATAATATGAATCTCAAGCATATAAATTACACATGCATCGATTATTAATGGGGTTTTATCTATAGACACCTTTGCCTAGAAATTTTACTGTATTTGTAACTTGAGAATATCTTTGTTTTACTTGAACCTAAAAATGCATTCTAAGGTATATTTAATAAAAAAAAAAAAGAAATGCAAGTTTGATTTATTTCAATGCAGATCATTATCAATTACAACTGGCATGAAAAAGATATTTGAATAATAGATGCTCATAAATTTGCTGCGAAATCAGAATAAATTATCTAAAAGTTAAAGAGATAAACAAAATTATATAGGACGTCTTAATATTTTACTCATTTAAGGTAACCAATATCATAACAGAGTAATAAGGAAAAATACACTGCAGCAAGTGTTTTAAATATGGTGAAAACAGGTCTTACTTCATAGATGATTCTCTGGACCAGGTCGAACTCTCCCTCTAAAGAGGAGTCCAGCAGCAGAGCCAGCGGGTTAAACTTCACCCTCATGCTGTGATCGATCCTTTCAGAACCAGACTTACGCAAATTAGTCCTCTTTCCCTAAATTAAAACATAAAACAGCATTTATCATCACTTCAAAGAATTTCAAAACGCCTTCAGCTTGTGCTGCTGAAGCATCAACTCTCAGTCTAGTTGTGGAGCAGAAACTGGTTTGTTATTCTAGCTCTGTGTGCAGGTTAATCTAGGTTCTAAGCAAAAGCTATTCACAGAAACGATTTTGTTGTTATGCAACCTCATTTAGAACAAAAGCCTTGTATGCAGGTTATGGAAAGGTGAGAAGAATTGAACCAGAGGAGGGGGGGAAATGGGTCATAACACTCAGTCCTTCCACATTTCCATCAAAATCTCTTAACTCTTTTCTCCAACAGCTTAGCAGCAAGAAAACACAAACTAGTGTTTATTTTCCAAACTACTTTATCCTCTTAGTTTGAGGAGATCAGGACCCATTTTCCTCAGGAACAATAACTGTGCTTTTTAAGGATTTTTTTTTGTTACACAACATGATCAGTTTACTTCTGCAAAAAACGTACTCATGACCTGAACTTTTAGAGAGTCAAAGGAATTTTAAAATAGATCAATGTAAACCCTTATGGAAAATGTGAAACTTCTGATAGTTTTAAAGCACCTATATGTTCGTACCGGGGGCAATGTGACCTGTCCAGTGACCTCAGGGGCTGTCATGTTGAAGGTGTCCTCTCCTAGGCTGTCCTGCTCTGCTCCGCTAGGGTATGGAGGTGGGGGGTAGGGGGGGAACTCTTCAACAAAGCTTTCAAGAGGCGGAGGAGGCAGGTTGGGCATTGCGTCATCCACACCAGCAGGGGGCGGAGGAGGGAAGAGAGCATCGTCAGGTCTGGGAGCTGGATGGGATGGAGGAGGAGGTGGAATGATGAGCTCACTGTCCGGAAAGGCTGATGGTGGTTGCGTCTGTTCAGTCGAGGTTGGAAGGGGAACGTTGGCCCCCGCTGGGTGTGATGGAAGCTCCCCTCTCTCAGTGTTCTGACCCGGCTCTGATGGGACAGGTTCTGCGGTACCTTGTGAGCTCTGAACATGAGGCCCGACAGATCCACCTGCCGCCTTTTCTGCTTCTCTGGCAAAAGCTGGAATTAAGGTCTTCTGATAGCGTAATTTTTCAATGTTGGGCCCTGCAGGACCCTCTGGTTCAGTGATGGAGCTGCGCTTCTTCAGGGGTCGGGGGGCATTATAAAGCTTCTTTCTAAGGGCTTCGAGGTCAGCGTCACTCTGATTCCTGTAGGGGTTGGAAATGAAGGGGAGCAGCTTGGTGGGGCTCAGAGGACGAGGGATGTTCTCAGTTTCTGGCTGGGGACCCTCAGAGACACTGGGACTGGATCGATTCACAACATTGTCCACCTCATTGTCTGGGGAACGGCGCTCCAGATATGGATTTTCCAGATGTTGGGAGCCTCCAGCTGGATTCACAGGTTTAGAATAAACTACAGACAAACACAAAACAAAAAACTCAGTTAGTATATCAAGACAGGCTGCATTGGTTTCCATTTAAACTAATCTCTGCTGAATTGTATTTGTTGCTAGAAAAACATTATGCTAACAGAAACCCCTAGAGTGATGGGAAAGCATGACTAAGAAGTCACATTATTAAAACCACTGATTTAGTGTTTACTGTTATCCAACTGACTAAACATGGCAAAAAAAATCTAAGAATCCAAATTTCAACATTTTATATGATCCAATATTGTCTTAGAAATACTTTTTGTCCATGTTCATTCTATGTAAGATGAGCTACAGTATGTAGCTTCCTTAGTTAACATGCTCTGACCCTCTTAGAATGAACAGAACTGTGATTATTTTTTACTTCATGAACCTCCAAATGCTCCAGTTAACCTGCTGTCTTGTCACCATTTTATTCCTCCATTTAACTTTCCATAAAAAAAGGCTTCAAAAGCACTCCTCAGGGTTCTCTTCAGGAACTTCAAAGATAACAGTTTTCATGCAGTCATATTTAAAAGTAATAACCAGGAATATTCCTCCCCCTTGTAAACTTACTGCTGCGGGTTGGAACCCTGTTGATGGCTCCTGGGATCCCCGGCTGGAGCGGCTTCCCTGAACCAGCCTGCTGAGTGTACATGGTATAAATGGACTTGGCTGCTACAGTTTGGGGTTTGGTCAGGCTGGAGGATGGAAGCTCTGGAGTGAAAGGTCGGACCGTAGCTGCAGGTGGAGTGTCCTGCTTGGAAGGTAGAGGGAGTGTCTGGCTTTGAGAGGTGGGAAGAGGGCCCCTGCCCTGGGCGGTCTGGGTCTGCTGGCTGTGGGGCTTTGTCTTGGGGAAGGTGCCCGTGTTTAGTCCTTGTTTGCTGTAAGGAACGACACTGGGACCTTTTGGTTTGGTGGGAACAGGAGGGGGCACCTTGACTGCAGCCTTCGGGGCAGACTGGAAAGTTATGTAAGAAAAGGAGATCTTTTTAGACAAGAGGAAGAGTTTCGGCAGGTAAGTAACACTTTTTTTCTGCCTAACAGGATGTTTTTCTCTTACCTGTGCATCCCTGACCAGATCTTCACTGCTCTGATTTTTGCGAAGGGAGGCGGCAGGAGGTTCTGTTGGCTCAAACATGGAGAAGGGGCGCACCTTCTTGTCTCTCTTCAGCTCTGATTCATCTGAACGTAGAGGGCAGAGAGTTGCTTAATAAGCCCTAATAGTAGTTTATTATTTTCCCTGGATACTAATGTATTACAATGATTTAGATTCTGTGTGCCGTTATTTCACCTTGCTCTATGTTAGAGTTGGTGTGAGAGGTCATCCGAGGCAGTGTTGAAGCTGAGCCGAGTCCATTGGTCTTTGAATCCTGACCTGAGGAGCTCCAGTCAGCCAGCTTTCCAGGCTGCAGACCTGAGGGGCGCACAAAGAAGGAGGAAGAGATAAAGTTTTGTACAAATGGTTCAATATTCCTTATAGGCAAACCATATCATCAACACAAAGCACAAATAAGGATCCCTTATATAATGGCTGCTTTTGGATGACTGGCTAAGACCAAGGAGTACTGTGGTAGGATGAGCGCTTGCTTTTAGTGAGATTAGCATCTCAACCATAGTAACAACGAGCATATTTCCATAAGACTCTCAACAAATGAGGCATATTTGTACATCGCTGCACATTGTGCAGGCATGAACAGGCCGGGTATGTCACAGTCCGTAATGACTGTCAGCTCAAGTGAAGGTTATGAATTTGTTCCATCTGACCCATTTAGAGATGCAGAGGAAGAACGGTCCAGAAAACTCAGCAAGCTGGATTTAAACCCAGCAGAATACGAGTAAATGAGAAACCGAAATATCTGAAGCAGCTGAAATCTTTTGCCGCAATAAAGAACTACTTAGAAGCACACACGCACACAAACACGAGTGTGTACCTTTTCTTTTTGCCCGTAGCTCTTTCAGAGGGTTGAGCAAGAACATGGCTTCTGATGGAGATGCATTCGAAAGACAAAACAAGCAAAGTGGTCTTAAAGCTTTAAGTTTCCTTTGCTTTAGACATGATGTTTGCAGAGCCAAGGCACAGCCCTGCCTCAGGAGCCATGCAGCACGCAGCGCAACCTCCCAGAGTCAGCATCATGCTTTGCTCTACACTTCAGCAGAAGAAGAACTGGGAAGGACTGTTTTATTGAGAGCAGGTTCTTCCATCTTCCCGCCCACCCCTCCCTCCCTCCCTCCCTCCCTCCATTGCTCTCTCTCCTTTCCATGCTGCACATCAACCCACCACAAGTAATCGCATGCAACAGGACAGACTGGAGAAAAAAAACTATTTACTTTCACTGCCTTTTCCCTTTGGATTTAAATAAAACAATATAGTCTGAGCAGGACAGAGTGTGATGTTGCTGACATTTTGCTATCAACAGCTCGGATGTAAAAATATTCAGTACAAAGATGCACAGAGATGATTCATTATCCTCAGCCAAATTTATAAAAAAAATAATAAAAAATGATTAGATTGTGCAGAAGAATGGTGAAATGTTGCAGTGGTCCAATTGTCTTCCCCTGGCTTTAAAACCCGAAAATATGACATCACAATTTATAATTGCCTCTGTACTCAGGTACTGAACTCTGGGATCAATTTACAACGGCATAAAAATATTAAGTTGAACTACTCTCTGATTCTTCATAGATTTCAAATCTTTGTTAGATTTGCCCAATGAGCTAGTAGTTTCTGCAAATCAACATTTAAAAAGAAAATAATTTCACAGAAAACTTAAAGCAAACTTCTCTATCGTTTCTTGCTAGACTCTGACCTTTAGTGATTATAATGACCTAATCTTTCTAGTTTTCCTACACTTTCTGTCAACTTAAAATTTCCTTCCCTATGCCTGTGGACTTTCATTTATGATGTGAACTTCTTGCTTTCTTTATATTTCTATAAATAGTGATTTCAGTTTCCTCTCTCATCATTGTCACCAGGTGAGTAAGTTTAGGCTCAGTACTAAGTACCAAATTGATGCAGTGCAAGAGTGTTTTTATGAAGCAGAGAATCAGAAGTACTTAGATCTTTAAAATAATGTCCTTTTTAATATTAACCAAGCCCCAACTCTTAAGTTTTGATAAAATGTTTTTTAATGTTTGTTGTTTTCATTTACTGCATGTTATTATTTTACACAAGGCAGGCTTTTTTCCAATGTTGTGAAAAATGCTGTTTAAAGACTAGAGATTGACTATGATGGTAGTTAGTTACTATGCGTTTCCTAAACCATTGCAACAAACCAGTAAGGTACAAAGACATAAAGAGTATCAGCAAAAACACAAATATCTGTGGAATAAATCCTTCACTGCAAATCTTATCAGCCTTTAGAATAGTTCAACAGAGAAGGGGAGGAAGCAGAATTGAGAGGTCACAACATTAAGTCAGTGTCTCTGTGTGTGTTTGGGGGGGTGAGGGGGCAGGCTACCTTCTGAACTCAGACTGACATCACAGTCAGCAGGAGCAGCAGTCTCCGCTGCTCCTGCACGAGTGCCGGAAGTTTGAGTGGGACACCAAAACAAAGAGAGGGCAAAATATGTTTCTATACATGTCTGTAGTAAAAGTAAGTCAATAAATATCGAGCTAAGATAATTTTCAAAAGATCAAATATGTTTATGTCATAAATGGGACAAATATGGGCGTCTGCCGTCAGGGGATCTCACCTGCACTGGCTTTACTTTGAGAGTCGCTGCCTGGTAGAGTCGCAGTGCCGTCTGGATAGGCTGGTTTTACCAGAAGATCGTGCCTTGCTGGGCCGCGGGGCATGGTGGACGACTGGATGTAAGGGCCGACTGCTGCCACACGAGACGGACCCGACTGTGGCCCGGTTTGGCTGTCGGAGGGCAGCTGTAGCAGAGACCAGGAAGAAAGGGGCAAAATCAAGATGAGATTTCTTACAAACAGCTCAACAGAAGATCCAAAGAGCTTAAGACACAATGGAAGAAGCCGATCATTTCATACATGAAATGGTACCAGATGAGAAACTAGTGATTGAAATGGGTAAAGCATGCCATGCTAGGGTTATCATTTAGGACAAAACAAAGAAAAGAAAAACATTCTCTTTTCTGACTGATAGATAGTGCTGAAACATTTCAGTGGTCAAGTCGTGACAAAAAAAAATTTGACCACAATGAGAAAAATCAATAGAAGCCAATTTAAAACCACCAATGGAGAAAAGAAAGAAAAAAAAACAAAAACACAGCTTTATTTTACACGGGGTATTGAAATCAAATATTTTCAAACCCTTAAGTTTCAAACTCTGAGGAACAAAGTAGAGACCATTACCAAAATCATCAGCCTAAAGAATAATGATGTTGCTAATCAGCCAATTAAACAACAGGCTCAGCAACCAATTTACAATTTTCCTCCATCAACAAATAATCCATCAATTGATTTTATTTCTGTTGATGTAGAATTTAGCACCTTTCAAGTTGATGTTTCATTGCCTAAAGTAGTAAACTTCCAGTAGAAAGTAATTTACAACAGATATTGGGATTTTTTCTTGTGGAGAAAGGGTATTTTTTATTGTTCATCAATAAATAGTTAAATATATTATAAAGGATTTTATTTATCCCTTGAGTTTAAATAAACTCCTTAACTTGAAAGTTAGTTTGGGTGTGTAACAGCTGAAAATTTTAGTTTGTGTTTTTCAGCTATTACAGTGCAGCATCTTTTGTTAATTGGTCGTTGGACTCCAACAAAATGAACATGTTCGCTGAAACTCAAATCATTCTCAGAAATGTTTTGCCTGCATCACCGTTCCCAGTTAACATAATTTTCTTGTTGTTAAAACTAAATACTCTGTGTGATTTAAGAATTTCTGCTAGGTCACAGATAGATACTTATTTCCTTGATGTAATATTAACCCAAATCTAAAAGCCTGCTAACAAGGAATAGTCTGGTTTCTGGTGCCATGCCTGGTTAAAGTTTGAAAAAGTTACAGCTTCCTGTGGATTCAAATCATCTCAATGTGACCACTAAGTGTCAGAAAGACTATAATTTTCTGTTTCAAGCATAGAGTAAAGCAGCACTACTTCCTCACCTGTTGCTGCCAACTGCTGCTCAGCTGGCTTAGCAAAGACTTCTATCATTGTAAAAGAGGTGCCAACCAATTATCTGTTTTAACACTGTTTTAAAACAGCAGGCTGCATTTTTGCAAGTTACTGGAAGAATCAACTTATTTCAGGGTGTCTACCCTAGCAGATGGCACAACTAATTAACCAGATAATGTTCATTTATTATGCAGCAAAAGGGAACACTATGCTCCGCAATGATCAGATCAAAACCATCTCTACATATTTAGAGGTGTCTGTTTCATATTGTTTCTTAATGTCAAAAATAAAAATAAACGCCATGTCAGCAGAAGTAACGTTGATAAATCGGTTTGAATAAATATAGCTGGAATATATTGCCAACATTTACGGTACTCAAGGATACTGGGAAAAATCTCTTGGCTAATACGCACTGATCAATAAAAAAAACTCAAAGAAAGGACCATGACACATCGACTTTAAAGTAATTTTCTGACACAATCTTGATCTGAAGTTTAAATACAGAATCAGTGAAGTTGGAAGTAAACAGTGGCAGAAAATAAAACTGATGACTTTACTGTTCATTACCAAACTAAATGACTTTAAATTCCAAACTCCTAACAAATCTCCTACAAATAACATTTCTTTTGCATTACCAGCTATGTGAACTTTCTAGTAAAATTAACATGCTCTTAATGTCATGCTGTAAAGTCCAATGAAAGCTGCCGTGCACAGTCATGCTTCTTAGTTGTGATTAAAAAGCAGATAAACGTAGAATGTACATCTGCAATACTAATTTAGTTACCTGCCGGTGAGCGTCTTTTGAAGCCCTCTCTTTAACAGGATAGCCATTCTTGAGAAAACAAAAAGCACAAACATGCAAAAGCAGTTCAAAAGACCAAATAATCCTTCCTCAATATAATATTAACTCTGTGTTTCCTAGAAAAAATAGAACAGTAGCTAAGAAGATCTGGGGAGGCTCTCCCTCTCCTGGCAGCCCCGAGTCTCCCTCTTGGGTCAACATGCTTTGAATTGGTGACGGCTGCCAGACGTTTGCAGTTTGGTTGGAGGGAAATGTGGCTTTGGTTGGTTTGTGTTTTTATGTTGGTTTGAAAGAGATCACTAATTATGATTCAAGGCAGGGTGTGGGTAAATCACCTTCTCCCTTGAGTCTATTCAGGTTTTCATCTCTAAAAACACACATTCACACACAAAACTGCAAAGGCTTCTATATACTGACCCTAATTTATTAGATAAGTCAAGAGGGCTTAAAAGAAAAACTAATGCTTTAATAAAGACTAGAGATGTAAACATATAATTAAAATAAGATAAATTGTCCATTAATGGTTCATTAGATTACATTTTTTTTCCTTTCCATTAATTGATAGGAATGTGCAAGTAAACATTTTTTTCTTTCCACAATTAGTACCTAATGCAGCTGTAAAAAATGTTTTCTTAAATATGATTTATTTATTTATTTATCTCAACATAAGGGCCTCAATATCAGTTTATAATATGCTAACAGAAAGATCACCTTGTTACAAGAGAAAACTGAGCTTTGTAAAAACATGGCTGCTTATTATTAGTTAGTTGATCAATAAGATTATTCAGCTTGAAATGATTTCAGTAATCAATCATTTGCATCCCTAATGCAGACTGTGTGTTACTCATTAAAAAGCTTTTACAAAACCTCAGGAGGATATATGTGATACGCCTTATTCATACTCTAATTTATAGCCCACTTTAATGTGTTTGCTTTACTAACATAGCTAACTCAACACAAAATACACATCAGGTGGATTTCTGATCATTTTATAATCTGATTGAAAGGAGAAGTTAATGTAATAACCAATAAAAGTTATATGTTCAGACGGATTGAAATCAAATAAAAAAAACATTTAACAACTAAAAAGTAGAAAGGTGAAGAACAGAAAAAAAAAGAAAGAAAAAAAAAAGCATTCATTCTTGGGTATTTTGTGAAGCAGAAGTTACATTTTCAGTCCCTCATTCTGTGAAAATGAGTCGGTTAACTCCCATTTACAGTCCCATGGCAACGTGTGTACAAAACAACTCCTGGAACGGGGAAGCGTGGAGTGGAGGAGCAGGGGGAGAGAAGACAGAACACCCAGTACTTTAAATTTTACTGCCAATGATGCAACAACAAACTGAAGAAATCAACTGGCCTAACTCAAACAAACACTGTATGCTTTAGGCTTTACCAAAAAAGCATGACTTTTAAAATCATACAATACATTAAAAATGGGGGTGTTCCTTTAAGAAATCAAGTGCTTTTTTTGTTAAGAGGAAAGCCAGAAAAGATAACATCTAAAGAGAAATTCCTGCCTGCCTTGATGAGATTGACTCATTTCAGCTCCCCTGTCGTCAGAACTTGTTTCTGCCAAAACAGGACTGTAGAGTGGGAGGGAGAGGAAGCAAGAGAGCAAAAAAAAGCTGCTCTGTCATGTGATCTTTGGAGGATCTTATTCTCAAATGTAGAGAAAAGAGAAAGATTAATCAAAAGGCATTCATCTCCTCAACTGAGGAAGATGATTAGTCTTCCCAAAAAAGGACAGTAAGTGAGAGTCGCCTTACATCAGCAGTGCTGATCTCTGAATACTTTTCCATCTGAATCGCAAGATAAAGAAAAAAAGAACAGCCTCACTTTAAGGCCACTAGAGGGAGTTATATCAGTAGCAACTCCTCTTAGCAGCCACTGTCCTTTTAGTTTAACATGATGAGTTAAATAAAAAGATGGGAAAAGTTTGTATGGCTAAACTTACAGGTAGGTTCTCCTTCTGCTGAAGGGCCGCCTTCTTCTTCCACAGCCTATCTCTGAGCTCACTGATCCGTTTGTCCATGGCAGCCACTTCCAGGTTTCGCTTATTTAGATTCTCCCTCTGTTGCTGCAGCTTTGAATTTTGATCTTGATTGAGCTTGTTTCTGAGCTGATCAGTGAGAAACAGACCAAACAGGTGTCAGTACATCATCTAGGCTTTTCTAATGTTTTTATTTTTGCTTGTTGCATTTCTTTCACCTGCAGCTCTTTGTAGAGGCGGTCCAATTCTGCCACTGAGCTTTGATTGTCATGCATGTTTTCTTTTTTGCCATTCTTAAGCGTTTCTAGCTGTCGGCTAAGCTCCTCCACCTTTGATGCAGCCATCACTAGTTCTCTCTGCTTCTGCTGGAAAAGGTTATTCATTTGCTCGATTTCTTCCACTGCAGAAATGAGAGTAAGGGGAAAGAAAAATACAAACATAAAAACAAGGACAGGAGAATCTGGGAGGGGCTGCTCTTTTTAAAAGAAATAAAATAAATAAATGTAAGGGACCTCACCTAATTTGCCGTTGCTGATGCGTTTCTGCTCCACCTGGCCCTTGAGAGCTCTGACCTTCTTGAGTCGCACTTCCTGGTTCTCAATATTTTCTCTAAGGCGCTGAAGCTTCTCCTGCTCAGATGCCTGCTGCTGCTGACGCTGCTCCTGCTGCTTCAAGTAGCGCAGCCGCTGCTCCTGCACAGGGGAAAAAGAAGACAATTAAAAATGAAGAAAGTGACAAAACAAAAATCTTTATTTGTAGATCATCACATCAGCACGTCATCATAAGTAGGAATATCACACCATGAAATCATACTGAGTGTCACATGCATCTTTGTGTATACTTGGGGATGGGATATAATGAAAAGTAAACATTGTTCTCTAACATCATCCTGGAAAACATTCCACAGTTGTGAGGTAAGGTGCAGACATACCACTTCTCAGCTGCTAAGGCACAAAAGAGGCCCTGCAGATGATAGTGAGGGGAGCCAAAAAGGGTCTAAAATAATTTTTGGACTTTAATTATTTTTTATACATCTATCTACATAGGTTTTTTAACATTCAGTTTAATAGCATTGATAAGATGGTGTTAAAATTGCCAAGATTGTATTTATTCAACTTAAAAAAAATTAATTTTCAGCAATAAGATTGCAGGTGAAGTATTTTACTGAATTCTCCCAAAAAGGTGAGCTATTCTGGAAGACGTCTGGTCATGTGAGCTGAAACTAATCTGTTGATGTGTGTGAAGTGTACGTGCCTGCTTGGAAGCCACATTCCTTGGCTTCCTGTACTGTCCTAAAGCATACTTAACATAGGTCACATACTGCCTCAGAGTCGGAGAAGATTTGGAATAGAAACATTTCAGAGAGAAGAAAAGACTAAAAGACGTTTAATTTATACCTCAGCTTTTTAAATATATCTAACAAATAGATTTAAACAGAGAGGGAAACGAGTCCTTAAGAAGAGAAGAGAAACTTATACAAATACCAGGAGGAAGTCGTCTAGATTTCTCAGATAATGGAAACTAATCTTGCAGCAATTAACAATTCAGGACACACTGTCACAACCAACAAATACGTTCTTAGCATTACCAACTTTATAATAGCACTAGCTTTTAAAGGCCCTCTCCTAAACATTTTTGGCTTTTACTTTAATCTTGACCATTTAATTCATCTCTCCTGAAACTTCTCTGTACAGCTTTATGTACCTTGGAAGCCAGCAGCTGTTGTTGAGCTTCAATCTGTTGTTGCTGCCTGGCAGCCATCTCCTGTAGCTCAGCTAGTGTCATATCCATCCGGGGAGTTGCCACCTGTAAAAACTTTATAAATATTTGATGTGTTTTGACACATTTGGGTTGGAAAATAAGGGAGAACATTTGTTGCACAAAAGTTACATAAAATATGCGCCAGGCTCTAATCTGCAAACACCACTCTGAATGAAGCCGTTAATAGGTTTTTAATCTTTCTGAAATAAAAAATGGGTTTGTCTTGAATAAAGTCTTGAATAAAGTCTTGAATAAAACACCTTGATTTGCCAAAACAAAGTAAATACCTTACCCCATTCTCCATCCTCCTTTCTGGAGGGGCCCTCACCCCATTTCTCTTTGAATCCATGCCTCTTGTTCCTCCTTTGTGACAGACATAAAGAAATAAAGACTAAGCATCACAATCTGCTGCAGAGTTTCATCAAAATCCCAATTTTTTTTTTACATTAAGTCAAATCAAAGGACAGTGAGGGATTTTAAAGCAGTGGCCTTTACAGGCATCTTTGAAAAACGATTGGAACTCCCTCTTGGCTTTTTGCCTGTTGGTGTCTAAAACAAACAAATGCAACCACAAAAACATGGGAGGTTTCTTTAACACAGCAGCACAGAAGGACGTGCTTCAGGTAACACAGACTCTCAAAGCTGCTCCTCTGGACGACTGGTGGGATAAGTACACTTTGTGACTCGCAATAATCTTAGGATTTAAACTAATACATAAGCTTCTGAGTCTGAGACCAAAACTGTGTCTGGTCTTTTTATATGTTGGAATTTTAGTTGAGAGATGGCATCTGAAAGAGATATACCCATTTCAATGCCCAGGAACTTGCTGACTTCATTATTTTTTGTTGCTCTTTACAAAAGCACTCAAAAGCAAGCTAAATATAAAATAAGTTAAGTTCTTATCTAAGCAAAAGGCACGACTGAAATCGGAAATCTCTATTATATTGCCCTGGATTACTTTTTTGGTCATGAACATTATTAAACACTTGCACAAAAAGCTAATCCAGGGCTTTGTTGGCAGGGCAGAGAAAAGCTTAGCTAACAGTGTGGGAAAAAAGACCAGCTGAAGATAACAAGAAGGGAAAACAACCACCTAATCCCATGGCTAGACTCAAGCTGTGAGGGGTAAAAGGGCTTATTTACGCAACCAGGAGTTGAGAAGATGGTGGATGACCAGTAAGACACAATATTATTATCCTAAGAAAAAAGGATGAGGTGAAGATGTTACTGGGATTCTCTGCCTTCCAACAATAAGACTGCTCAAGGGTTTGATTTTTGATTATATGGAAGGGATTTCTTTATCTTGGTTAACTTTATTAGAGGGGATGTCATAATACCAGGATTTTAGGGGAAAAAGCTCACATGCTAACAGCTAGTCAGATTGCCCATTTTTGCTGATTTTAGGAATTGAAAATTGTTCCTCTTGTGATTAACCTGCTCTAAGTTCACCAAGAGATAAGACTTTGGAATGCTGGTGGACTATTATTTTGCCATTCTAGCTCAAATGGGATACTACTGTCCGTTTCAATATGAAGTAGTTGGTTGGAAACAGACAACACCTTGATGAGCAGAAATTACCTTTAGATTTCTTCAGTTTTCTACAAATTCACAATATGTCATTCACAGGAACTCAACCCTATACAGAGCATTATATAGTGACTGATTATGCAATGTTAGATGAGTGTCCGAAGATCTAGTGTATGAAATAGCGGACTTGAAATTTCCCACAGTGGGTTATACCAGAATGATTTGTGAGAACTCTCCTCGCAAAGCATCATGGGATTTGTTGTGGCGGCAATAAAGAACAAAGAACGCCAGCACCATGCAGGGAGGCGGACTTACCAGACCAACGGGGAGTGGAAAGTAGTGATCATCTGTCTAAACGGTCGGTTAACTGAGTTCACTATGAAGTCCACTATATACTCCCTGCTCTATATAGTGATTGAGAGGCTAGGGCAGAAGTTCGGACACATCCTTATTCTTTTTAAATTAAATTGTTCTGGGACAATCTTTATTTAGAAATGACTGGCAAAAAGACCCGTAAATAAGTAGGTAATTGTCTAACTGAAGACTTAAGGAATCTCTGGCATTTCAAATCACAGAGTCAAACATGTTTTCTCTGAAGACAGCACTTGGTCAACTGGGTTTTCTTTGTAGAAGAAGTGAGCAGTAACACCTTATGTTTCATTGACTGCTTCAGCTGTTCTAGGTGGGCTTTCACAAACTGAAACGTACCAGATTCTCTGCCGGGGGCTCGGTTGTGCCGCAGAAAGAATCGCACCTCTCCTCTGTGCGGTCCCCATCTTTGGAGCACATCAAACATCCTCTCACCATCGCCTACAGGTCTCTCTGTAGACAAAGGATATTAATTTAACACAGTTTCTAAAAATGTGAGGTTAAAAAGAAAAAAAATACTGTTGAGGTTAAACCTGACAAGGCCAAAGTTGTTCAAAAGTGCATGTGGTGTTTGCTTAGAGAAACACCAAGAGGCATCCTAATTAAGTTTCTTAGTACAAAGTCGATGACGCACACAAAAACAAAGTGCTGTGTGTGTTCTTTTTGTTTGACACCACAGGGCTCAACGATCCTTGTGACATTTTCATCTGCAGACCTAAGCTCCTTTTATTACATAAAGGGACCGAAACATCCCAGTAAGGTAACCAGTTATAATGGTAGCACAACCAAATAATTTAACATGTAAAAATCCCATCATCGTTATTAGGGTTTCTTCTAAATCTTAAGGTGTTACGGGTGCTCTGAAGTGTTTCGTGGAAAATGGTAGCAAAATAAAGACGGCGTTCCTTCTGGAGATTTCTTGTGAAGGCACTCGAGGACAATAATTGGCACTTGTCTCCCTCTTCCAGGAGCCTCACCATGGAAACGGATTGAAAACCTTTCTATTTGAGCCCTGGATTTTGAATACTTATTACATGGGGGAATAAAATGAGGCAGGGAGGAAATTATAAACCACTTCTGCAGTTCTTGTTTGAGAAAAGAAAGAGACATTTAGGTGCTTAATGGTAGTTGGGGAATGGCTCTTCCTATCTGCTGCAAGGCACTCACCAGATCCACGCCACATCTCTGATAAGTGACAATCCGTCTCCCCGGGCTCCTTGCACAGCTCCACCACATCACGGCACAGAGTCTCCGGGGTAACGGGAACCTCAGTAAAATGTTGGTCATTGTTACTGAGGTATACGGTCAAGAACATCTGTACATAGAAAGAGGAGGAAGAGAGAACGAGTAAGCAAGGCTTACCAGGTAAAAAATAAATAAATAAAATGGGTGGAACAGGAATATTTCATGAAGGATCCGGGTTAAGGTGGGATGGATGATGGCAAAGTAAACAACATATCTCTTTGAAACCAGTGGGTGATTTCCCTATGGGTCAGCATCTGATGCCGTGTCTACATAAAATATCTTCTTCCTTAACAGTGGGATGACTTTTCTATACTGTGTTTATCTTTATCAGCAGAGGGGAAAAAAAAAACAGAGTTCCATTTAACTTCACTCCAGCTAAAACCACAGACAGCAATCCCTCTAACAACAAGAAGAAACCAAATATATCCAGCTGATTCCGGAGAACTGAGGTTTTTGTTTCAGGTTGCAAAGATGGGCAAACTGTAAAATACACATTTCAAAGTAAGCTGCGCAGTATAAGCCTTTTTCTACTGGTATGGTGCTGAAATACAACAAAATAAATAAGTAAAAAAAGACCTGTTTTATCATTAATATAGTTTATATCAAGTGTTAATATAAATCTTAGACAAACATGAAAACAGCAAGCCACGTCATTAAATCCTCAAAAAAAAAAAAAAAAATCCCTTTAAGCATGTGCCGGAAATGTCATCACAAACATACACTATATTGCCAAAAGTATTTGCTCACCCATCCAAATTATTGGAATCAGGTGTTCCAATCACTTCCATGGCCACAGGTGTATAAATTCAAGCACCTAGGCATGCAGACTGTTTTTACAAACATTTGTGAAAGAATGGGTCGCTCTCAGGAGCTCAGTGAATTCCAGCGTGGAACTGTGATAGGATGCCACCTGTGCAACAAATCCAGTCGTGAAATTTCCTCGCTCCTAAATATTCCACAGTCAACTGTCAGCTGTATTATAAGAAAATGGAAGTGTTTGGGAACGACAGCAACTCAGCCACGAAGTGGTAGGCCACGTAAACTGACGGAGCGGGGTCAGCGGATGCTGACGCGCATAGTGCGAAGAGGTCGCCAACTTTCTGCAGAGTCAATCACTACAGACCTCCAAACTTCATGTGGCCTTCAGATTAGCTCAAGAACAGTGCGCAGAGAGCTTCATGGAATGGGTTTCCATGGTCGAGCAGCTGCATCCAAGCCATACATCACCAAGTGCAATGCAAAGCGTCGGATGCGGTGGTGTAAAGCACGCCGCCACTGGACTCTAGAGCAGTGGAGACGCGTTCTCTGGAGTGACGAATCGCGCTTCTCCATCTGGCAATCTGATGGACGGGTCTGGGTTTGGCGGTTGCCAGGAGAACGGTACTTGTCTGACTGCATTGTGCCAAGTGTAAAGTTTGGTGGAGGGGGGATTATGGTGTGAGGTTGTTTTTCAGGAGCTGGGCTTGGCCCCTTAGTTCCAGTGAAAGGAACTCTGAATGCTTCAGCATACCAAGACATTTTGGACAATTCCATGCTCCCAACTTTGTGGGAACAGTTTGGAGCTGGCCCCTTCCTCTTCCAACATGACTGTGCACCAGTGCACAAAGCAAGGTCCATAAAGACATGGATGACAGAGTCTGGTGTGGATGAACTTGACTGGCCTGCACAGAGTCCTGACCTCAACCCGATAGAACACCTTTGGGATGAATTAGAGCGGAGACTGAGAGCCAGGCCTTCTCGTCCAACATCAGTGTGCGACCTCACAAGTGCGCTTCTGGAAGAATGGTCAAAAATTCCCATAAACACACTCCTAAACCTTGTGGACAGCCTTCCCAGAAGAGTTGAAGCTGTTCTAGCTGCAAAGGGTGGACCGACGTCATATTGAACCCTATGGATTAGGAACGGGATGTCACTTAAGCTCATATGTGAGTCAAGGCAGGTGAGCAAATACTTTTGGCAATATAGTGTATTTCCACAATGCAAAGAGTTTAGATGCCATTTGAATAAAAGCTGTGTTGTAACAAAGCTGCCAGAGGCTGTGACATAAACTGGATCTACTGAACCTTTTTTGCCTCAGCCTCAGGGTTTAGTATGCAGACATACCATTGTACCAGTCTCAATAATAGCACCAGATGAGTGACTTGTTTCTGGGAGCTGCTTAGCTCAGTCATGTTTGTTAGAACAAGCTTAGTTGACATATATATATATATATATATATAAAAAAAAAAAAAAGAAGCTTTGATGAGTCTGCTGAGCTGATTGAACAGGAAAAGGGTTGCAGTTCTTTTGTCGGCTGCTGGCCCCACTCTGAATTTAGACAGGTGCTGGTCCTCTGCTAGGTTTTTCAATGAATAAATGTGTTATAGCTCACTTAACGGTTTGGCTGAGTGTGTAAATGTGCACACTTGATCTAGCTGATGCAATCAATCTGACTTCATAGCTCTTTATTTAAGTTTAATTGCTAAAACATCAAAAATAAATCAGTCCTAAACTAGACAGATAAAGTGATATAAACAAATTTCGTCATCTATCCATGTTCCACAGATTCAGGATAGATTCCTTTTTCTAAACACAACATTTTATGAAATGGCGTCTACATTTTAGAATCAACTGTGTCACAAACACAAAGGGTTTGAGGAGAAAATATGCCAAGCTGCGATTGCTACGATTTAGAAACAGAAGCACTTTAGCTGCTCCTTTACGCTGAGACAGCTGCAGCTCTTAGGTGATAAGACATGAGGGATGCAGAAATTTGTTTTGAAGGACAAGTTCTGACTCAGAATTGATGCCTTCCCCCCCCGATAAGGTTTCCATAACAACTGTTTTTATAGTGATAGCAGAAAGTAAGGTGGGTAGTTTGCTGATGCATGGAGCCTGACATGACTGGATTGCTTAACAGAGATCTCAGTGAAAGACTCCCATTGACAGAGTTGGTGAGTCATCGATGTCAGCACAGGGAGCATCATCCTTTCCAGCAATGTACCATACAGAACAGTTCCCAGATCTGAACCTTTTTTTATTCCTTTTCAATGAAAGATAATAAAGTAAGTCATCCATTCATTTTCTTCCGCTTTATCGGGGGCTGGGTCGAGGAGGCAGCAGTCGAAGTAAGCAGAGTAGAAGTAAGATGTAGTAGTAAGAAGTTAGCCAAACTGGACTAAATGTTTTGCCACCAAGCTTTAAATTCCAGAAAAGCATTTTAAGGATCAGCACCAACTAGTTCACAACATTCTGGAGATATTGGACAAGTGAACTGGCCATGTAAACATTTGGAGACGTGACAAATACTGAGAAGGTGGATGAATCAATTGGAGGGAGGTCCTGGAGGTGTTACAATAAAAAATACTTTTCAGCAAAAAAGATTAATGATCCAGGTGCTAACAGTGACATTAGGGGTTTCTCCAGGATGTATTACACTCGGCTGCCATTACTGGCAACACTACAGATTGTCAAAAACCAATTGAAAAAAAAGAAAAACTGCATAAAATGTGTGTCTTCATAGTAGAAATATATCACCTTGGTATATATGATGAGGGGAAAATAGTTGGTTGGACCCCCTGTTTTGACAGAGCTGGACAAATCGAGTCCATTAAATATTTATAGACAACACCAAGCAGAATTAAACAGCTCAATAACAGCCTGATGGTCCCTCCACAGGACAAAATAAAAGCAGCTCTGCAGAGAACTAGAAACAATGTCTTTGTGTGCTTTTAAAAGAAACTGGGCAAAACTAACGCAGACTGAATTAAAACATCTGGCAGAGATTTGCAAGCTTCGCCTTCCGTCTATTAGATATGAAGCAAATGAAAGCATCAAAAGCTGAATTACACTTCCTTCCTGCCTGGGAGATTGCCCAAGAATGCACAAGGTACATACCGCCTATGTCAGGCTCTTTTAAAGCGATAGACTGATAACTCTATTACAGCATCAGCAAAGTCAAAGTCATTTCCCAGCATATGGCAATACTGTGACAGAAAAGATTTATATAATAAAAATGAGTGCCAATCTAAAGAAAGTAGTCTTCCCCCCAGCTATCTGAAACTGAAGCAGCTATAAGGCAAGGTCACAGGGGATATATCAGAGGGATTATGATAATCTGCCATATAAAATAACAGCATTTTAATGGTTTGCTGGCTCTCAGACACAATGTTAGGCTTATTTTCATAAGCACGCACACCAGCAATAGTCACTACTTCTTATCTAAAACAATACGGCTTGTTATTTTCCTTATCTGAATCATTCTTCAGTACCCGGGCTAAAGGGAAAGCTGTAATAACGTGGGCAGAACAAAACCCCAAGGTCTTGAAGGTCAGTTTTAGGACCTTTCTCTACAGGAGACAGAAAGGACTGTGTGTATTTCAGAGAGATGAAAGGCTGCAACATAAAAACCCAGAGACAAAAAGGTGCTGTAATAAGAATAGATCTAAGGGGGGGAAAGGCTGCAGCTGGCAGTGCTTAAGCTCCCTGCTGGAAGGAGCTCAAAGGCTAAGAAGACTGGAAATCAAACATACATCATCATAAATGTTATGAGTAACTGTATCAAGATGGCAATTTGTTGGCAGGGATTCTATCAAATATAAAGCTACATAGACTGAAATATCTAAATGTCTCAACAATAACATTGATAAAGATAATATTGGCCAGTGCCCAAGAGATTTTTGAGTTCTTGTTGACATCATGATGTGAACCAAATATCAAAAACATACATAGAAAAGAAACAATCAAAAAGCCTATATATATATATATATAAATAAATAAATATATATATTTTTTTATAAACAGCTAGGAAAAGGCAGATTACATTGGAATCGAATTTTGAACACAGTTACTTTTTTTAGGATGTTGCAATGAAAGGCCAGAGAGTGAAAAATGTAAATTATTAATCTAGCTGATTTTTCAGAGACATTCCCTTCTTGTCCAGGAGGTACGGCTGGATTACAGCCACTTTCCGTGGAGCTTGGGTGAAACTGCACTCTGAAGCTCTGACAGGAGCAGCAGGCATTGCTTTTGTCGCCACTGCTCGTCTTCACCCTACATCACAGTCACATCCAGTTACTGATGCAAAAATAA